TTGCAAGGCAGGCAGTGGAACCATCAGGCTAAATCCCCAGCCCAGACAAATATATTCTGTAATAGGGAAGTTAGTAGTAGACTCCTGAGGCCCAGGAAAGTTGTCCTCCCTACAAGCTGCCTTCCACACCAGGACAACATTTATTTATTTTCAAAACTCACTTATTTATTGCAAAGTGCCAACACTGCAATTAAACCTGAGTACTGAGGTGTTAGTTTACAGAAAATCAACACTTATGTGATCCTCAGCTGCCAGGGCGACTTGGCTCATGTGGCAAAGGAGAGGGTTCAGGGAGCCCACAGGAATGTGCACCACAGGTTTGCCACACATGGTCTGGAGGACCTTGTACAACTCACATTGTTGCAGGGAGTGGCATGGCCTGCTTGCTAATGTGGCGTGAGAGTATTCAAGCCACATTTCACCTCAACAGAAAATTTAAATATATATCCACACACATATGGCCCAGCATTCTCTAGCTATGTTCACTCACGGTCCCCTCTGCCATAAGACTTCCACTGGAGCCTAGAGACCTCACTACAGAGCATCAGAGCATCATTCTGCATCTCAGGCCAAACTTGCTCAATGTTTGAGAAGTAGCTTGTGCCTTTTACAAGAGCCTAAACCCCTGTTTAGGATCAGTATCTGAGATTGCCACTGAGCCATTTCTGGAAATATGCATCTCCCTCACCCTACTTGCTTACCCTGCAGTATGGCACGCACTGTCCATCAGGGAAAGGTCCAAGGCTTGAACAGTTAGCTCATCTGGCACTGTCATTCCCTCATGAAGACGCCAGTTGAACATAAGTGCCAGCTCTGTTTCTGGATGGTAGCTCAATACACTTCTCAAAGTTTCTCCTACTGACAGGTGTTCTAAGCCATATTCACTTTCAAGGTTTTTGGCAACTACAAAACATTAAACATTAAACTTGTTTAATTTCACATATTCATCAGTAAACCTTACTTTCAGGTTCTGGTTAATGACATCAACAACAAACGATTCTCCATATTCTTCAAACAAATTTTACAGATAAAATTGCCCCATTTTACTGAATTAACAATTGTCAAAGATCAGTTCTTATTACTACTTCAGGTTTGTGGCTAGTGAATCTGGTAATGAGCCAACTGTGCGTGCATGCGTGTGTGCACGCGTGTGTGTGTGTGTGTGTGTGTGTGTGTGGCTCTGTGTTTGTTTTACAACCAAACCGATGTTTAAGTGCCTTTCCTGATTCATGTGGCGGCAAAATTCTTCACAGCACTGTGCTAATAATATGTGTACTCTCAAATATGTGTGCCATGTATTTGGCACTATGTGAAAAATAACAGTGAAATAACCTGTTTCAGTGGTTACCACTCCCAACTGTCTGTTTAGATTCCACACTGCACCCTATACAGTTAATCCTTTAGGAAATAATTTTTTCATACCTAATATGATAACAGTGATTTATAGCTCATAGGCAACTTTTCTTCGGTGACCTTATTTGATATTTTCAACAATGAAATGAGAAATCAGATTGTTGTGTCTATATTTACTCCTTTGCTCTAGATATCAATATTCTAAAGTTGTGGGGAAATATCATCATCTCTTGACATGAAAATGACTCTTTTGTTATGTTAAGAAGTTTAAATTGTCAGACTTTACATCTGAAGAGCTGGACTTTGTCTTTCCCCTTCAGTCTCTATGCAGTCATGGAAGTCTATTATTTTTCTTTGAAATATGTCCTGTATCTCTTCTTTTCATTTTCTTCTTATTGTGACCAACTACTGTTCATGTTGTGCTCATGACATCTTGAAATACAACAACCAATTTTTGCAACAATTGTCTTAACAACAAAAACTACAGTTCAAGTTATACAAAATGCAAACATTACAGGAGTAAGGTATACCAATTGCCTTTTCAACAATGATTAAGATTACTGATTTGCACTTTAAAATTCTTCTTCAGTTACTGAGGATTGAACCCAGGACCTTGCACATGCTAGTCAAGTGCTCAACCACTGAGCAACACTCCATCTGTTCTTAAATTTTATTTATTTTTGGTACCAGGGATTGAGTTTGGGACCCTGCACTTTAGAGGCAGGTGGCAGCACCACTGAGCAGAATCCTATGCCCTTTAAAATTTGTTTTTAAGACAAGGTCTCACTAAGTTGCCCAGGATGGTCCCAAACTTGCAATCCTCCTGCATCAGCCTCTTGAGTCACTGGGATTATGAGTGTCTGCCACCACCCCCGGCTGGTTTGTATTTTTTCAACTATGGTCATGCACCATTTAACAATGGGATATGTTCTTAGAAATCCATCATCAGTACTGCTATCTAGGATGTCAATGATACAAAGAGATACTATGATTGTCAAGAACCACCACTGTGTGCATGGCTGGCATTGACAGAAGTGTCACTCAGTGTATGACTATTACTGTAGGAGTGTACATTTATAAAATATTTAATACATTTTAAACTGATATACTCGTTTAAGATATTGTTCAAGGTTAGGGTTAGGGTTAGTGCAGACTATTGCCAGACTATTTTGGTTTGGGCCTATGTTTCAAAGTTTA